ATTCACATCTTTACCCGCACAAGATTTAAAACTGCGTTTCCAAGTGCCTTTAGAAATCTTTAATTTTACCAACAATTTCATTTTAAATAAATTTGCAATTCATTACTATTGTCTTGTGTACGAAATTTGATTCTCACATGTATACGCGCCTGCATGTATGAATTCATTTGTGCCCTTTTGCCATTTGATATGCGTTTGGGTATGCACTTGTGAGTATTATTACAAATTTATTTATCAATAATTCTGCATTCAAATCTATCTCAGAATGCTAATCGCTTTATATATCAATGAACCTATGTACAGGCTAAGCGAGAGCTTGATCGAATCAACAGCGAAGTGACTAGGCTGGGCGAAGAGTTGACCGAACTGGGCCATCGGCTTGAGGCCGCTACAGATGAGCGTCAACAGCTCCAGACCGAAACGGAGCTGATGCAACGCCGACTGGCGACTGCAGACAAGCTAATCAAAGGGCTCAGCTCGGAAGCGGTCAGGTGGACGGGTGAGTTGACTGGCTTACAGGCTCGACACACCCGCCTGCCCGGCGATTGTTTACTTGGGGCTGCGTTCCTCAGCTACGTCGGTGCCTTCTCTTGGGAGTTTCGACACACTATGCTCCACGACGACTGGCTGGCCGACTTGCTCGAGCGTAATATTCCAGTCAGTCAGCCATTCCGGTTGGAAGAAGTGCTGTCACACGAAGTGGAGCTTGCCCACTGGACATCTGAGGGCTTGCCTCCAGACGAACTCAGTCTACAGAACGGCATGCTTACAACGCGCTGTTCACGCTTCCCACTTTGCATAGACCCACAGCAGCAGGCGATTACATGGATACGCAACCGAGAGGCTAAAAACAACTTGAAAGTAGCCACTTTTGCAGATACAGACTTCCTGAAGCATCTGGAATTGGCCATAAAGTATGGTAGTCCCTTCCTTTTCCAAGATGTCGATGAGTATATTGATCCTGTTATCGACAACATACTTGAAAAGAATGTGAAAAAGGACCAGGTGAGAGAAAGCCTATTTAAAGCGGAGACTAAAGTAGTTGTTTAAGGTGTCAACAAGTAATTGGTTTGTAATATTAACCAGAAGGTCACCATAATCTTCAACTTGTACCTTTTGCATATAAATGAGTGTCAGCCTGATTTGAAAATTGATTTTGTCTCCATTTCTATTCCGAATGCTTTTTGTTTTACAAAAAATTTCATTTTATACCTTCGCAAAGGTATGGAAAAATTGCAGATCCTTTGTAATAAAGGAATAACAATAAATCCTGTAGCCCAAGAATTTTTATTATTAGATCAAGAGGATTTACATTTAATTTGTTCAAAGGAAACATCTAGATATAGAGATGCAAATAGCCTAATACTTTATTAGAATCAACTTCCTATTAAGTCCTTATGATTAATTGTGAATAGAGTAAGTTTCTTCTTGGGACATTGGTTTTTTTAAGCTCGCCACTTTGGGTAGTTTCCAAAGCAACTGGCTAATAAGAGCGATATATAATGCACATGAATCTTTACTCCTACCACTACCAACCTGTGAAGATTCCTCTTCTAAAAGATTCAATAGCATACTTTTCCGCTGTCAAAAGAATCGTCTTAGTTGACATTTTTTTAGGATTAGAGCTGTGTAGACTTATTGTAGGCTAATAGTCGTTATCTGTGACGGAGGCGGCTACTGTCTGTTTTAAGGTAGAATCTCTAAATAAATATGTAAAATAATATGTAACTTGTGAAAGTAAATAATGCATTGACACTATATTGCATCATAGGTAACTATATCACGAGTTAATTTTCATCCACAAAGCTTGATTCCACTGTGCTTCCGTTTATTAAGAGAATATATTCTAGATCTCGCTTGAATGCGCTTCGTCTACTATGCATTTTATCCTATTTTTGCGCAGGGTCGAGAGTTTATGATGCTCGGTGACAAAGAAGTCGACTATGACCCGAACTTCCGACTTTATTTGACCACAAAACTATCTAATCCACAGTATGGACCAAATGTGTTTGGAAAGGCAGTCGTCATCAATTACACTGTGACGCTGAAAGGCCTCGAGGATCAACTTCTTAGCGTTATTGTCAAGTATGAGCGCCGAGAATTGGAAGAGCAGCGCGAGAAGTTGATTCAAGAAACTAGGTTTGCTGACCTTGCATAAATCATTTTGTTCACCTGTCTAATAACTTTCAAATTTCCTTGCTGCTGAATTCTCCTTACTCTTTAATGTTTAATTTAGGCCAAGTGATTTTAGACTAACAAATAATTTCATTTATCACTTACAAAATTTGTACTCTATGAGATGTCTGGA